ATTTAAGCTGAAGCTTATCGATACACTTTCCGTCATAACACTTTGTGGTAGTTAACTCTGATTTTGGTAATTAAAACCGGGGACGGTATACTTTGCAGACGACTTTGCAGACAAGTTAAACATAGAGGGATTTTGCAGACAAGTTAAATAAAGAAGGATTTTAGACTTTGCAGACAATATAGATTATATAGGGGATGTTTAATCCCTTATCAACTGGTCAAAAGGTGTGAATGGGCAATTATAATAATAGCTGTTGATCAGTTGGTAAGCTGTGTAATAAAAAAAGAATAACAATGTGAAGTTTAAAAGCATTTTATTTAATGTATAATATTTATCAAATAATGTGATTCTTATATAAGTAAAACAATATTAATGAAAGTTTTTATAAAAAGTATTAGCAAAATGGTTATATTTCATCTTTCTTAATAAGTATATGAAAATAATTACACAAGGATAATTATAGATATATCTATAATAATTATTGAAAACAAGAAAAAAACAAACAATAACAAAAAATTTCAATATATAGAAAAAGTATTTAAAAAATAATCCAAACCCTATCTTATATAATACACAATAAATTTAAACATGTACTCAGACATAAATGTTTCAAATTTGAAGTATTAATTAAAACATTTTAAATAATTCCTCAGTGAAAGATATGTGTGTATATATATATATCTACATTTATATAAAGATAGATACAGGCAGACTTTGCAGACAAGTTAAACATAGAGGGATTTTGCAGACAAGTTAAATAAAGAAGGATTTTAGACTTTGCAGACAATATAGATTATATAGGGGATGTTTAATCCCTTGTCAACTTGTCAAAAGGTGTGAATGGGCAATTATGCTGTTGATCAGTTGTAAAAAATTTGCAGACAATATACAGATAGATAGATAGATATCTAATATTACTATAAATATCATTGTCATTAAAGATGTTTTACCAAGATATCACATAGATAAACAAATTGAATAAACAACATGTATTGACACTTTGAAATAACAATAAACAAGGTACAGATCATTTATTACTAATTTTCATACCTTTTATTCATAATGAATGTCATTAACAATACCAGGGACAAAAGCTCATACCAATAAATGAATTAGCTATAATAAATTTAAAGTAAGAAAATAATTATTGATTAATAATTTATTAATTATTACCAAAAAAATTACTGAACATAATAGAATTTAATATTAATTGTATTAAATTACCATTGATTTTGAAAATATAAAAAAAAATCTTTTTATTTATGTACTGTGACAGAGTGTAAAAAATAACTTGTTCAAAAACATTGACCTTATTTCTCATTTATATTATTCTTTGGATATTTATGTATATTACTATATTAAAACAGAAAATCCTATTAACAAAATCCACATTTAAATTCTTCAAGTCTTGAAACATCTGATGGAGCATTTACACAAAACTTATGAAACCAGTTTAAACATTTATCACACTGTACCATATCTGCTAAACAGGCAGGCATATTACAAATACAATATTGTTCCAACATTGTTACTCTAAAACCTTTTCTACGTCTAATACTTAATGTCTTATTGGTAAGTGGAAATTCAGTCAATTCTTTATTCTCAAAACAATTTAACAGATGTGTACGTAAAGATTTGGTGTCAAAAATTATATCATTACATATTTTTTTCCTTAAACAAAAAGAAGTAGCATAAGCTATTGCAAATAAACCACAGTCAACAGAGTTATTTTGTTTCATTATACATGACAAATTGAGAGACAGAGACTTAACTTTTCTACCGTAAATTTGAGAGAGTTGTATTTTGAGTCCATCTGGTATAATTCTGTCTATATTTCTTTCAATTCATAAACTGTCTAATAAGTAAAGTTGGTCATTATGGAACAAGGACACTACCCAAAGGTCACTGTGGGTATGATGAATTTGACATGCTGGTGATTGTTCAATAGGATCAAATGGGAATTTAGTAATCCATCTATTTTCAGTGTCATTAAAAAAAGGAACTTTTTCAGTCAACTGTAATCCATGTATCGAACTGCCAACTTGTTTTCTTAGTATTTTGTTTACAGCTTCCATATGATGAGAGTTCAATTTCCCCCCTTTTAAAAGTGCAGATTTGTCTTCAATTGTTAATTGTAACTCTTCAATCCACCATTGAATATTTAACTTTGGTAATTCCGGCATATCATAAATTTCATCACGACTACTTTCAAATTCCACAAAATCACTATTTTCACTAATGTCTGACAAATCTGCTTTGATTTTTTGCTTTTTTAAACTGGTTTCATCTAAAAATTGTAACTTTCGTTTCTTGCCACCTGATTCTGAAATGTTACTGCTTTTACTTTTTAAAATAGATCTAGGGGTTTTTGGCGTGCTGTTAATTAAAGGTTTTGGAGAAAGTGTCACATCAAACAAGGATTTCTTAACAATTGAGTTAGGTCTTAATGTCTGTGTGTTATTTTCATGAACTGGTGTGTTAAAGATATCACTTTTTTGGGCAGATTTCACTACTGAGTCTGGTGCTGGATTGATTGTTTGTTCCATCTCGGTGTCTCCCTTTCTGCCTTTTTTTGTTCCACATTTTTTTTGATGTTTAGGTCGACAATTTCTTCTTAATTGAGTTAAATTGTAAACTTTCTTGTCTTCTGGTAATGGCATGCCTATTGCCATCATAGCAGCCATTATGTGATAACACCTACTTGTAGATGGACACGTGCAGGTTTCTTTAGGAAATAATGTCACTGAGTGATTTTTGTCTTTGGTTCCCTTTACCATAAATGCCCCCATTTGAGGCACAAGAACAATGTCATTGTCCATAATGATTTTTGTTGCTAGAGATTTTTGTGATATTGGACCCTTAGATTTCTTAATTGGCTCATCTTTGGTTTCATCTTCAATATTGATTTGTTGTTCTTCAGTTCTATTTAAAGTTTCATTATCTTTTGTTTGCACCAGTGAAATTAATTCTCCTTTTACAAGGTCAATGAGTTTATCAGGATGACATACATTTTTTGGAAGGATAATGGTATCTGGGTCTAATGCTGCATACTTGAATTTGGAATTCAGAGTCAATTCACTTTCACCACAAAATCCTAACATCAGATTCGAAAGGGCATTTCCTTGCATATAATAAAGAAATAATACGATTTCATCGATTCTTTTCTCTTTCCTGTCTATAAGTCTTTTTAACTGGGCATTTAAACTTTCACTTACATTATTGGTTACACCAGAATAAGGGTTATAAATTCCTTTTATTTCTAATATCCATCTAGCAGCATAATTTGTTATGGTGTTATCTATATGTTCATTAAAGTATGTCACAAATGCCTCACTCCATGTAGATTTCATTTCATCACAGTTCTTTTGGTATTCATCTTTATTGTGGCATTGTAAGAGCGTACGTATATTCATTTCATAAACTTTTATGTCATCAGCGCGGCCTCCATGCTTTTTCACCCAGAATTTAATATCATTTAAAATATGATTCCAACATATCAAAATTTGAGAATTGTTTAATCTTTCTTCAAATGCATTGATAATGCCCTTTTCACGGTCTGTTACAATATTAATATTTTTCTGGTCTAATTTTGAAATTTTACTTTTGATAAGTTCGATAAAGTGTTCGTGGCAGATTTGAAATTTCCTTTCATGTAACATGAATGCAATAGGTATTACTGGCTTTTCTTGAAACATTGGATGTTGAATTGCCATTGTTGACACATAAAAATCCCCTAAATTAAAAGTTGTATCGTAGAATAGGTTGACAGTGACATCATTTAATTGTAAAAGTTTATTAACTTCATTGAAAAGTTCAGTGTTCCCTATCACAACCTCTAAATCTGGGGTAGTTTTAATACTTAATATATAGTTGTCCAGTTGATGAACCAAAAGATGCAGTGCATATAAGGCATCATGTGAGAGCATGTTATCTTTTTGCATTTTTCCCTGCAGGTTTTTTATCTGTCTATCATTTTTTGGTACACCAACACCTTTAACCTTTGTTCCTGGAGACTTTTCAGAACACATTTTTTCGAAAAGCTGATTTGGTTTTTCACATTCACTTCGTTTCTTGATTTCATTAATAACTGACGGTTTTGTTCTTTTATACTGACGATTGTTTCTTTTGCGATTACCATGTGGGAGTTTTTCATAAGCCTCGTGATTTCCATAGTAAGCAAGTACAGTTCGTCCATTATATTCATCTTCTGTAAACCTAAACACATGTTTTTGAAAATCATCACTTGTAACACCTTTGTTATATATTTTAAAAAATGAGCGTTCTATTTTCTTTCCATCATTTGTTATATATTGACGTTTACCTAGATTTCTCCAAGTATATCCATCAGCACGCCAGTCTTCTTTTGAATTTATATTTCCAGAGTCATCGTATAAATAGACAGTTCCGGCTGATGGTCTGTAAGGTGGCTCCCTGGTTATGCTGTCAGGCAAATTTTGAATAAGAATGTCTCCTGCTTCATTATGCGTTATTTTCCTGGTGGTTTCTGAAAATATAGGTGCATCATTTCCCCCACCTATCAGCATATCACGTGAACTAACACAATCACTATCAATGTTTAAGACATATTTCTCATCTGTTTCTAATAGTTTAATCATTGCTGGGGCGAACATAGGTTGTTTGTTGATTTTTCGTTTAGTCACATAAACCCTTTTTCCTGTATGGCGCTTCATAGAAGTTTTTATGAAAGCATAAATTAACAAAAAAACATCAACTTAAAACTATATTTTTTTCAAATTTAATAAAGTTTTGCAAATTAATTATACTTTCTAAATGGCATTACTTCAATGTAATTGCCCATTCACACCTTTTGACCAGTTGACAAGGGATTAAACACCCCCTATATAATCTATATTGTCTGCAAAGTCTAAAATCCTTCTTTATTTAACTTGTCTGCAAAATCCCTCTATGTTTAACTTGTCTGCAAAGTCGTCTGCAAAGTATACCGACCCTTAAAACCGGAAATATACGACGCGCACGCCGCCGGAAATTGAAATTTTGGGACGCCATCTTCAGCATAAAGAAAGAGATAATTAGATTTTTAATTTTGAATAATGGCGTCAGCTGTTGGGAAAACTCCCCCGAAACCTGCAGTGGATAACAAAAAAGAAGAAAGTACTCCAAATAAACCAAACCAAAACGATAGAAAATCTCAAGAGAAAGATACGAAGGACATTAAAAACGAAGGCCCCCAGCAAGATAACCGTAACAGAAATCAAAATCGATTTAATAATAACGATAATAGATTTCAAAACAGGAGAGGCGGTAGGGGAAACCAGAACAACCAGGGTAGGTTCAATCAGCGTGGTCCTAACCAAAATAGAGATACTTCAAGAGATAGTGGAAATCCTTTTGAACCTGCAGGAGATTTTTATGGGGAACAAAATGAAGCTCCAAAAGAACAGAAGAAGTTTACAGGCAGATGTAGACTATTTGTTGGTAATATCACACCAGAAGTAACCGAAGAACAATTCAAAGAGATGTTCACACCATTTGGAGAAGTCTCTGAGGTGTTTGTAAATGCTGCCAGGGGTTTTGGATTCATACGCTTGGTATGTCGCTGTTGAACATAATGATAAGTTAACAAATTATAAACAGAAGGCTGCAAAAACGTAAAGCAAAGTGAAACATATCATTAAATATTAATTTAGATCTTGAACATTTTATGATTTGATTAGCAATGATTAATAAGAAATTAAATATGCAATGAAAGTAAATACAAAACCAGTCATTCCAAATTTATGACTTGTTTTCTATTATCTTTCATTGCATTGGAATTTCCAAAAGAATACTTAAATCAATACATATTTACAAAATATACCAAAATCAAATATTAATAGGCCATATTTAAAACAAGATTGGAAACACTTGAATTCATTTACATGTGTTATTGAAGGAAATAGGGACTGAAAATACTCATAGTGTTCATTTTTCAAACAATCTCTACTTCAATGAACTTTTATAAAGACAGGTGTTGATGATAATCATCAAAAGTTCCTTTTTTTCTTTACAGGATTATAGAATAAATGCAGAAAGAGCTAAAATGGAGTTGGATGGACAAATGCGCAACAATCGTGTTTTAAGGGTTAGATTTGCTACACATGGAGCTGCTTTGAAAGTATTTAATTTGTCCCCTTTTGTATCAAATGAACTTCTTGAGCAAGCTTTCTCTCAGTTTGGTGAGGTTGAGCGTGCAATAGTTTGTGTTGATGACAGAGGGAGGTCATGTGGAGAGGGAATTGTGGAGTTTGCTAGAAAACCAGGTGCACAGTCTGCCCTTAAGCGTATCAATGAAGGTGTCTTTCTTTTGTCAGCGTAAGTATATTGAAATAATGTGATTTGAAGAGCTTCTATTATTTTGCATGTTCAACAAAAAATAGTTATTTTAATAGTGAATTAATTACTGTGACAGTATAATAAATTCATACGTATTTTTATGTTACAAGATAGCCCTGGGGATTGTTTTACTTTAACAACCTTTTTATACGCCCGTTTGAAAAACGGGACGTATTATGGGAACGCCCCTGGCGGGCGGGGTCCAATTTTGTCCGGAGCATATCTCCTACATGTTTGGAGGGATTTTAATGAAACTTCTTAAAAATGTTCACCACTATGAGGAGCAGTGTCGCGCACATGAACCAGGTCTCTAGGTCAAAGGTCAAGGTCACACTTAGAGCTCATTGAAAAATGCTTCTCCGGAGCAAAACTTCCACATGTATAGAGGGATTTCAATATTACTTGGCACAAATGTTCACCATTGCGAGGCGGAGTGTCGCGCGCAAGATTCAGGTCCTTGCGGCCAAGGTCAAGGTCACACATAGAGGTCAAAGTTCAGATAAAAATATGAAGATGTGTATATGGACCATTTAGTCATCATTTATTGAGGGATTGTAACACAAATGGTCATTATCAAGACTATGGCTGTGATACATATAATTTAGGTCAATATATACAAGGTCAAGGTCACTAAAGATGATGAAATATCCAGATTTTGTCCGGAGCATATCTCGTACACGCATGGAGGGATTTTAATGAAATTTCATAGAAATGTTCACCATTATGTGAAGCCATGTCACGCACATGAACTAGGTCTCTAGGTCAAAGGTCAAGGTCACACTTAGAGCTCATTGAAAAACGCTTGTCCGGAGCAAAACTTCCACATGCATAGAGGGATTTCAATATAACTTGGCACAAATGTTCACCATTGTGAGGCGGAGTGTCGCGCACAAAATTCAGGTCCCTGCAGCCAAGGTCAAGGTCACACATAGAGGTCAAAGTCTAGATAATAATATGAAGATGTGTATAGGGACGATTTAATCATCACTTATTGAGGGATTGTAACACAAATGGTCATTATCATGACTACGGCTGTGACACATGTACTTTAGGTCAATATATGCAAGGTCAAGGTCACTAAAGATGGTGAAATATCCAGATTTTGTCTGGAGCATATCTCCTACATGTATGGAAGAATTTTTATAATACTTTATGGAAATGTTCACCACCATGATATGTATTGCTCCATGCATGATCCAGGTCAAAGGTCAAGGTCACACTTAGAGCTCATTGAAAAACGCTTGTCCGGAGCAAAACTTCTACATTCATAGGGGGATTTCAATATAACTTGGCACAAATGTTCACCATTGTGAGGCTGAGTGTCGCACGCAAAATTCAGATCCCTGCAACCAAAGTCAAGGTTACACGTAGAGGTCAAAGTTCAGATAAAAATTTGAAGATCTGTATAGGGACCATTTAGTCATCATTTATTGATGGATTGTAAAACAAATGGTAACTATCATGACTACAGGTGTGACACATTTAATTAAGGTTAATATTTGCAAGGTCAAGGTCACTGGAGATGATTAAATATCCAGATGTTATCCGGAGCATATTTTCTACATGCATGGAGGAATTTCAATGTTACTTTATAAAATTGTTCACCACCATGAGACGTAGTGCCCTGCACATGAACCAAGTCTCTAGGTCAAAGGTGAAGGTCACAGTTAGAGCTCATAGAAAAATGCTTGTCTGGAGCAAAACTTCTAATTGCATAGAGGGATTTCAATATAATTTGGCACAAATGTTCATCATTGTGAGGCTGAGTGTTGTGCATAAAATTCAGGTCCCTGCGACCAAGGTCAAGGTCACACATCCTGTGCATATCTTCCCTACTGATTTGTTTTAAGGTTCATTTAACAGCACAGTGCCAAGAATAAAAATTTGCTTGCTAGATAACACTTATCCATAATGCCCCCATCTCCATCTAAAGCTTTCGTAAACAGGCGTATTTTGTGACTATGGCACCCTTGTTTAGGATATGATTTTCATTTTCTTCAGGTATCCAAGACCAGTCCGTGTAGAAATGCTTGAACAGAGAGATGAGGAAGATGGTTTAACAGAAAAATTTGTTCAGCGAAATGATGGGTTTAGGAAAGACAGAGAAAAAGAACCAAGGTTTGCTCCTCCAGGCTCATTTGAGTTTGAATTTGGCATGAAGCATAGGCAGATAGATGATATGGAAAAAGAAAGAAGTGAAAGAATTAAACAAGATATGGAAAGTGAAAGAACAAGATTGGCAGAGGAAATGGAAACTGCTATCTTTGATTACCAGGCTGATCAAATCAGACAGGGTATTTTATATTCATACTACATTGAAATCTGCCTTATATACATTGTTGTTGTAAATGAAGTTGCTTTCTCAACTTTTGCTTAATCAAATCTTTTAAAGTTGTATTTCACTAAAGTAAATTTTGATTATCAAGAGCTACTTATTTTAGTATTTAATTGTGCAATTGAAATTATTGAATAATTCAGTCTGCACAAAAAACTTTTTTATGGTCATAGACATTCGGGCTTTGTCGGTCAATGTATTATATTGCCCAAACAAATTTTAACTAGCCTGAAAAATCTTTTAACAGGTTGTGGCCAGGTTTTGAAAATTTACTTAAATTTGGAGAAAATAATGCAAAGTGCTATCACTTGATTAACATTTATTTCTTATATTCTTAGACAGGGTGAAAAGTAGACTGAAATTCAATGATTTCAGGCCAAAATAGTTAATACCCTTCTTCGTAGAGGCCGAATATAGGCTGCTACCCCAACCAAACTAGCCTCTTCTTTTTCTCTCCAGTTTGGTCCTCAAAATTCCCCAGTCTTTTGAGATTTCCAATAGAATTTAGAACAAAATTAAATTTGGTGTTAAATTATGGTCTTTTACTGCCTTATTAGTTTTTATGCCCCACAAAGTGGGGAGCATATAGCATTGCACTTGTCCGTATGTCTGTCTGTCCGTATGTCCCGAAATCTTGTGAACGCAACTCCTCTTAAACCGGATGGCAGATTTTGCTTAAACTTCCAGGGATGAACTTTAAACCTTAATGTGTAGATGGTAGTAAAGGAAGGAATTTTCGCTGCAACCAAATTTAACAGAATTATGGCCCTTTGTTGATTTTTTCACTATATACTATGTAGAAATTTTGAGAACGCAACTCCTCTTAAACCTGATGGCAGATTTTGCTTAAACTTCCAGGGATGAACAACCTTAATGTGTAGATGGCAGTAAAGAAAGGAATTTTTGCTGCGACCAAATTTAACAGAATTATGGCCCTTTGTTGATTTTTTCACTATATACCAAACAGAAATTTTGTGAACGCAACTCCTCTTAAACCGGATGGCAGATTTTGCTTCAACTTATAGGGATGAACAACCTTAATGTGTAGATGGAAGTTAAGGAAGGAATTTTTGCTGCTACCAAATTTAACAGAATTATGGCCCTTTGTTGCTTTTCTCCAGAATAAAATGTTCCACATAAAAATCTTACATACAGATATGCATGCTCTTGTTTACGAGCACAGCTGCACAGTTAGGGCATCCTAGTCCTTTGGAGACAGTTCTAGTTCCCAGTGCTTTTTGCTTTTATTTTTCTAGAACTTGTTAAAAGTTTGTGTTAAAATTGAGACCCCTTTTCTCAAAGTATGCCAAAATCATGCATATTTTCCCCCCTATAAAAGGCAGAGGCCTCCCCAAAAATTGGAGTTTTGGTCCTGGATTTCATTTAGCCTACCCCTCTTAATGAAAGAAATATGTTTGTATATTCCCTTAGGAGTGAATGGCACATGCAGGGAGGCATTGCTAAGTTGTTAAAACCCTACTTAAAATAACTGCATAATATTTTGTTCTTGGAACAATTTATTCTGTACTATTATTTATTCATGTGTGTTGAATAACATAATTTTATATTATCATTCTTTCAAGAATCTGCCATGGAAACACTATAAATTAACTGTTTATAAAGCTTATAAAAAATAATTCAAAAGATATAGCTGTAACCCTTTAAAATGTTTTTTCAGACTTGATGAGACAGCAGGAAGAATTGAAAAGACTGGATGAAATGAAAAATGAGCATATGAGACGAAGACAGGAAATGGATCTCAGGTAGTTAAAATGAAATCAGCATGCTCTCAGTCTGATATAAGTTGAAAACTGTTTCTTTTACTTATTTGTCAGATTTTGGCAATTTCAGATTTTCTTTACCAGAAGTTTTTTAATGTGGTTGAATTATTTTCAACTGCAGTACGTTTTGTTCAAACATTAAGTGCAACAAAATCGCTTAAAACTTCTTTTTCCCCCCCTTAAGATGTGTCCAGTAAACTAAAACACATATAATACCCATAGCAAAAGTGTCTGTTTCCTACCAAAATTGTTCAAAAAATTCCAATGACTAATAAATCCTGAGTTTGCTCCTATTATGTACCATTTTCCCTCAATTAACTTTATTTCATATTACAAAGAATGCAGACCTAGACCTGTAACCTGTTCCCAACTATAGAATGACTGCTGTATGTTCATTCCAATCATTCTCCATGGCTGCTTCACATCATTATACCCCCAAAAACGAAGTTTGGGGGGGTATATAGGAGTCACCCGGTGGTCGGTCGGTTGGTCGGTCGGTCGTAGCCTGGGATTCAGGCGTTGATATTTTTTGCTTATTTATAACATACGCGCTATTTCATACTCGATCGTCATAGATAACGCACAACATCTCTGGTTTTGATAGTATCAACGCCTGGGGAAACCTGCGGGGTTTCCCATGTAATTATCGACTAATGATAATCCTATTAATAGACCAATTAGCACGTGACCAACAATTACATGACTAAATCGAAATCGAGGCGAAGATGATGAATGCTGAAAATTTGACGCAATTTACTATTATAAATTGCGTCCAGCACAATTCTCTGATGCTCACAAACTTTATCCAATTTATCTAATCAAAACTTGTGGATCGAATTAACTCATCATGCAATAAACTTTGTCAACGACTGTTATTTTAATCGGAAATGGTGTTTTGAAAGCGAGGCTCCGTAACTGTTCGTTGAGCTTCGGGTCACTTCGTGGAAATTCCGTTTCTATTTTTAGCAACTAGTTTGTCGTTGTTTGAGTTATCGTTCTTTAAATAACACCCGTAATTTTCGGGGTGTATACTAGGTGGCGCTTCGATCGAAAATCGTATTTCCCCAGGCTGTCGATTTGCCGAACAGAAGCACATAAAAAATCGACAGACTGGAACCCAGGCTAGGTCGGTCGGTCCAGCGGTCCGTTGCATTTTCCTTGTCCGGAGCATAACTTGAAGACTAATGGTTGGAATTCAATATAACTTCATACAATGGTCAAGTACATTGAGAGGAAGTGCAGTGCACAAGAACCATAACTCTATCTTGACTAATTACAGAGTTATTGCCCTTTGTTACTTTTCCTTGTCCGGAGCATAACTTTAAAACTACTGGTTGAAACTCGAAACAACTTCATACAATTGTCAAGCACAATAAGGGGAAGTGCAGTGCACAAGAACCATAACTCTATCTAAAGTAATAACAGAGTTATTGCCCTTTGTTATTTTTCCATTGCTTTCTTTTGTCCGGACTGTAACTTGAAGACTAATAGTTGGAATTCAATATAACTTCATACAATGGTTAAGCACATTGAGAGGAAGTGCAGTGTACAAGAACCATAACTCCATTTTGACTAATTACAGAGTTACTGCCCTTTGTTACTTTTCCTTGTCCAGAGCATTACTTGATAACTACTGGTTGGAATTCAAAACAACTTCATACAATTGTCAAGCACAATAAGCGGAAGTGCAGTGCATAAGAACCATAACTCTATCTAAAGTAATTACAGAGTTATTGCCCTTTGTTATTTTTCCATTGCTTTCTTTTGTCTGGACTCAAACTTGAAGACTAATTGTTGGAATTCAATATAACTTCATACAATGGTCAAGCACATTGAGAGAAAGTGCAGTGCATGAGAACCATAACTCCACTTTGACTAATTACAGAGTTAGTTACCACCCATTGTTACTTTTCCTTGTCCAGAGCATAACTTGAAAACTACTGGTTGGAATTCAAAACAACTTCATACAATGGCCAAGCACAATAAGGGGAAGTGCAGTGCACAAGAACCATAACTCCATTTTGACTTATTACAAAGTTATTGCCCTTTGTTACTTTTCGATTGCTTTTTTTTGTCCGGAGCATAACTTAAAGACTACTAGTTGGAATTCAATATAACTTCATACAATGGTCAAGCTCATTGAGAGGAAGTGCAGTGCATGAGAACCATAACTCCATCATGACTAATGACAGAGTTATTGCCCTTTGTTACTTTTCCTTGTCTGGAGCATAACTTGAAAACTACTGGTTGGAATTCAATACAACTTCATGCAGTTGTCAAGCACATTAAGCGGAAATGCAGTGCACAAGAATTATAACTCCATTTTGACAAATTACAGAGTTATTGCCCTTTGATACTTTTCCTTGTCTGGAACATAACTTAAAACATACTGGTTGGAATTTAAAACAATGTCATACAATGGTCAAGCACAATAAGAGAAAGTGCAGTGCACAAGAACCATAACTCCATTTTGACTAATTACAGAGTTACTGCCCTTTGTTACTTTTTATTGTCCAGTGCATAACTTGAAAATTAATGGTTGGAATTCAATGAAACTTTATACAATGGTCAAGGGCAGTGAGATGAAGTGCAGTGCACAAGAACAATAACTCTATTTGGACTAATTACAGTTATTGCTTTTATTACTTTTTTGTCCAGTGCATAACTTGAAAACTAGTTGTTGGAATTCAATACAACTTCATACAATGGTCAAGCGCAATGAGAGGAAGTGCAGTGTACAATAGCCATAACTCAATCTTCAGTATTTAAAGAGTTATTGCCCTTTGTTCCTTTTCCTTGTCTTTCTGGACTTCTTACAGAGTAATCCAATAAAACTTCATCAATGGCCAACCACATTGAAAGGAAATGCAAGATACAAGAACCACAACTATCTTTAATTGCCCACAACCATAACTCTATATTTCAATTCTTTTACAAAGTATTCTGTTACTAGTAACATCCTCATTTCCGAAGCAGTCTTGCGGGGGGAGGGGTATTAATCACATTTAGTGATAGTTCTAGTTATTTTAAGAAGTTGATTTTATTGGCATTACTTTCTAAGGTGAAAATGCATATGGCTGTGGTGTAATTATTTATTTAATCAACTATTAAAGGTCTTCGGTACTTCACTTTGTCATGATTCAGCCGCTTCCCAAAGGCTAAATATCTGTTTTTAGCTCGACTATTCGTAGAATAATCGAGCTAATGCAGTCACCCATTTGTCGGCGTCGGCGTCCCTGTGGTTAAGTTTTTGTATGTAAGCTGGTATCTCCATAACTACTGAAGGGAATGGATTGAAACTTCACACACTTGTTCTCTGTGATTATCTTAGATGATTGGCACAAGTCCCATAACTCTGATTTGCTTTTTTACATAATTATGCCCCTTTTTCGACTTAGAAATTCTTGGTTAAGTTTTTGTATGTAAGCTGGTGTCTCCATAACTACTGAAGGGAATGGATTGAAACTTCACACACTTGTTCTCTGTGATTATCTAAGATGATTGGCACAAGTCCCATAACTCTGATTTGCTTTTTTACATATTTATGCCCCTTTTTTGACTTAGAAATTCTTGGTTAAGTTTTTGTATGTAAGCTGGTATCTCCATAACTACTGAAGGGAATGGATTGAAACTTCACACACTTGTTCTCTGTGATTATCTAAGATGATTGGCACAAGTCCCATAACTCTGATTTGCTTTATTACATAATTATGCCCCTTTTTCGACTTAGAAATTCTTGGTTAAGTTTTTGTATGTAAGCTGGTATCTCCATAACTACTGAAGGGAATGGATTGAAACTTCAAACACTTGTTCTCTGTGATTATCTAAGATGATTGGCACAAGTCCCATAACTCTGATTTGCTTTTTTACATAATTATGCCCCTTTTTCAACTAAGAAATTCTTGGTTAAGTTTTCGCGTGTAAGCTGGTATCTCCATAACTACTGAAGGGAATGGATTGAAACTTCACACACTTGCTCTCTGTGATTATCTAAGATGATTGGCACAAGTCCCATAACTCTGTTTGCTTTTTTACATAAAAATGCCCCTTTTTTATCTTAGAAATTCTTGGTTAAGTTTTTGCGTGTAAGCTGGTATCTCCATAACTACTGAAGGGAATGGATTGAAACTTCACACACTTGGTCTCTGTGATTATCTAAGATGATTGGCACAAGTCCCATAACTCTGATTTGCTTTTTTGCATAATTGTGCCCCTTTTTTATCTTAGAAATTCTTGGTTAAGTTTTTGCATGTAAGCTGGTATCTCCATAACTACTGAAGGGAATGGATTGAAACTTCACACACTTGGTCTCTGTGATTATTTAAGATGATTGGCACAAGTCCCATAACTCTGATTTACTTTTTCGCATAATTATTCCCCTTTTTAGATTCATAAATTCGTGGTTAAGTTTTTGTGTGTAAGCTGGTATCTCCATAACTACTGCAGGGAAAGGATTGAAACTTCACACACTTGTTCTCTGTGATTGTATTGAAACTTGAAGGGTTTGTACCTTTTCGTACAATTTTATGTATTCATATAGGTAAGAATTATTATACTCAATGAAACACCCTTGTGACAAATTTTCGAATAGTCGAGCGTTACTGTCCTCCGACAGTTCTTGTTCCCTAAAATGATGCACATAATATTATATTTTCAATGAGAAAAAAAATGAAATCAGTTTTCTTCACAGTTTGCTTTATTTATAAAGACTGAAAAAAAAATCAACATTGTGGCACACCCAGCCCATACTCAAAATGGTAAGACGAATGCTTCTACCCAAATGTTCATGTATTACAGGAGAAGAGAACAAATGCAGGGAGGAATGGGAGACAACATGATGAGGCAGGAAGAGGAACGAAGACGAGAAATGATGATGCGGGCATCTAATGCTATGAGTAGAGATCGTGATGGTAATATGAATCAGGGACCTCAAGGGCAAAATAGAGGACCGAGTGGCCGTCCAGATGATATGATGATGAGAGGAGGGGTATGAGACATTTATTTTATATCTTGTAATATTTTTTTGCTTAAAATCAAGGCAGAGTATAAAAAGCCTTTTTGATTGACAAAATTACAGAGTATTTCCACTTTGGTCTTGAAATTTTTTGAAATATTGCGACTATGTACCCCAACCAGGTCTGTGGTTAAGAGATTGTTACGGTAAATGCCATTATGTATATCATTGTCCATCTAAAAAGTGATTACTACCAGTTTGTTAGGTACAATCTTATAATACAAGGGAATTAGTTGAAAATAAACATAGATAATATATGCATGTATGTCACCAATGTACAATTCTTTTTAGGGAAATCCTATTTATCTTTGGGTATTAAAAGTGGAATGACAAAACTTTTTAATGCAGTTTAGGACATCAATTAGAAACTTCATTACCTTGCATTATTATTGTGTACTAATCTGTGCAAAACAAAATTGGCAGGTAATAGGTTGATTACTTTAAAGTTAATAATTCTCTGAAGAGCTTTGTTTCTTATTTCTTATTAATTATTTTGTTTAGCCTGGAGGTCAAGGCGGCCCAGGTGGCCCTGGTGGTATGAGAGACCAAGGTAATCAGAGGGGCCCAGGCACACCACCAATGCCTCCACCCCCTGTACCACCTGGTATGAATATGGAACAGAACAGACCTGGTGTAAGTACACATGTTTGTATTGCAAAATGTTATAGCTTGTCCTGACTTCTTTCATACTGTAACTAAAAGTCTTTGAACTATGGCTGATACAGGCATTGTTTATCAATAGAAGTGGATATGAAATAATAAAGGATCAAGGCAAGTTATATCATGTTGGGAAAAGTGATGGTTTAATTCCCTATATCTTCTTTGTGGTTCTGATCATGTTAATTGTATGAACTGATGAGAAATTATAAAGAAATTAACAAGACTTGTTAAGATTGTGTAGCTAAATAGGTGTAAAAAATGTATACAGCTTCTTGCTATTGCTGTTCTAGTATTGAAAGAATTTGTCAACATGATGGAATAAATAGAATTATTGTATGGTAGTTGATTTTGAAAAAAAAACACAATGAAGTTGAAAGAATTTAATGCATAAAGTTAGTAAAGCATCATTATGATTGAAATAACCTGGATAATTTCTTAGAGTAGAAAAAATAATCTGGATAATTTCTTAAAGTAGAAGGATATATATAAGTACTTTGAGAAAGGAATGTAAAAGAGAAGGTCAACTGGTGGCCAGTAACATGTTGCAGGGAATTTTAATGGGATAAGGAGTCCTAATGAAACCTGTCAAGGTATATGATATATAGGACAGAAATATTGTTGAATCAGCTTTATTTGGATTTTGCTTGAAATATGACATTAACATAGAAATTTGAAACCAATTTAAATATGCACCTTTGTTTTTTTTCTTCAATTATTTATATTTGAGAGAAAACATAGTTTGAATATGTATGTTGCTATGGAGAATGTTACTGAAATGCCTTGGAGTAGTTTTATGACATAGGCAAATATATATATCTTTAATATACAGGCTTTTAAGCACTTGTGGTTCTGTTTATCCTTATTTTCCTGTTTAAACAGAAATAAGTTTTGATTGAAATGGAGATAAGTCTCATAGTTTCATGTGGGTATGCTTTTTATTAAATGGAAAATTAGTGTTTTATTGTTGTTGTATTGTAACATAATGAAAGAACAGCCAATAAAACTAGCAGTTTTATCTTAGAATACTAACAGACTTGTGGTTACAAAATAATTACCATCGATGTCTCTTTTGCTATTGAAATAGCAAAAGAGTTGTAATATAAAGGCTCTCTTTCAACCTAATGATATGTTTAAGGCTTCACATAGGCATTTGGAAAGCTTTCATTTCACTCAAAAAAGTGCCATTAGGTTAGCAAATAGCAGTTTTGTGTAATTTTAACTGATGTTTACATACAAATTAATGGCTGGAAACCTTTTACATTGGACAGTGTTAATGCAAAAATATGACCATTAATTAAATGTTAGAGGGCATCTTTTGTTGGTTAGGGTGGAAATATGGAACGATTTGGACCAGGAGGTGTGAGCCCTGGAATGGACCAGCCCAACATGGAGAGACCACCCCCAGGCATGCCAGGCAACATGAAAGGCGATAATATGGTAAGTAATATGATAGTTTGAAATATATACCTCTTTAGTCAACTTTGTAGGCAGTCTTTAAGGAGTTGATATTAGGAGGGAATGAAGTTGAATTTCATGATGATTCTTGGAGGGTTGACAGTTTTGTTAACAAAGACAAGTTCTTACACTTGTATGGTATATGAAAGAAGTTGTGGATAATGATGTGGATAATGATTCAAATCATTTATACAATGCAGTGAAAGAGGCAAAGACATTAACTGTGAAATCACTTTATTTCTAGGGCATGAAATTTCGTGGTTTTGTCAAAAAGGACAAAGTTCTTGGGTTCATAATTCATAGTTTGATTTTTAAAATATAAATTATGTTTAGTTAAATAATCTGAAACCAAACAAAATGAAATTTAGTTGGGTCTTAAATTCATAGATTGGCCTATTTGCGAAAACCATGAATATAAGTGCTCCACGAATAATAAAGATGTTGCAGTATTCTTAAGTCTGAGAGAAAACTGTTGATCATATCATATTTGAAAGTGTTAAAAACATCATCAGAGGTGGGAAAGCCTGGGAAAGATTAAAGAAATTTGTTTCAAATTACACAGATGTTTCGATCATGACCATTTGTCATTAATAACTGTTTTTTAGTGAATTCTGCAAGAAAATTTGTTTCCTAGTGTTAAATTGACAGTCTTAAGTATTATTTAAAGATGATTTTTAAAAACTCCTGACTACTGCATAAATTTATTGGGACATATTATTTGGGAAATGAATCCAGAGTGTTATATTTACAGACTTAAAATTTCAGGTTGACCGATGATTTTGGGTGGGGGGAATTAAGTAAGTAAATGTGTTGAGATTTGTGAAAATTATTTTGCATATCAAGCAAACTATATATACATTCCTTCTTATGGAATGCCATAGTCTAGGGTATGGTCTCTTTATGGATAACATAATACTGGATTATTCATGGGTTGATACTGACTGCTTTGTGTTTGTGTAAACAACACCAAAGTAGTGATACTTTTCATGTTACAAATATCTTAAATCTGAGAATTTGCTGATGGTTGGTATTGTATATGTTATACATCACAAAAAGAACTTATGTTTGTTGCCTTGATGTTATAACTTTACCCAAAAGCATGTACAGTTGTTTATATAACTAAAAATTGAACCAAAGCTGTGAAGTTCACATGATATTTAATTCAGCATAATGCTGATGCAGCATAGATAGATGATTCTTTAGTTTGGTTTATAAAATTAAAAAAAAAGCGTACTATTAACATTTAGGTTTTTAGATATCAACAAATATAAAAGTGTGTCAGTGTGTTTTGCTTTCCAACAAATTAGTCAAGATAAAGTTGAAAAGAATATGTATTTTAACAATATGTTTTTTAACCTGTCAAAATACAATCCATACTGTTTAATAGACAGAAAATTTTAGACAGGTTGGAATCTGTCAATAGCTGTTGGTATTCATGTGTAGCTTTTGTGTATATTATCTTGGTTTGGTTGGCAGACTGATGCTTTGGATTTTGAAGTTGTTGTATTTGAATAATGTTCAAACTATTACCATCAGATGAAATTGTTTTTGCTATTCAAGAAGAAATCTATACATTGAAGAAGAAATCTTTACCACTTATATAATTGTATAATATCAACTCTACCGCTATTTTGATTTGATTGTATATACTCTTGTTTGGACTTTTAGCTGTCTATTTTATGCTCCTCTTTTTATACCTAAGCATTGTATGTGTATGAAATACACTAATAAGAAAAGAACTTTTTTCATGTAGTAGAAAAATGTTAAAGTATAATTTAAAGGAGGTCCACTGAGGTCTTATGCAAAGAATCATAAAGAAATACGGTCAAAGTTAAATTGAATTTTTATTTTTTCTTGCAATTCTTAGCTCTGAGTGAAAGCATTGCAATGCTTTTCATATATGGTTCATATTTCACAATAAAAATGATGATTCTGGAAAAACAGGGTAAGGGAATGATCTGACAATTTGCACACAAGTTATTTGTCCAGATCTACATCAAATGGTACCCAAATCTCTGAAATATATTTTAAGTTCAGTATGGTAAAAAATCTTAGTTCAGTCCCTTTAACGTAAAAGAACATTATGATTGAATCATTGTAGCTATACAGCTATCAGGGCATTTGATATCCAGTTTTATTAGTTATTTTAAGTTGAAACTGTGGAGGTTACATTTATTTGTATATATTTTACTGACAGGTCTTTGGCATTGAAAGTAACATTCAAGTGTTTTCTTATTGGTGGTCATAGTTGAATCATAGGATAAAATTATTCATTAAATGAATTTTCATATGTTGGAAATGGTAGATATGTGGTTACAAGACATTCTATAGAAAGTGATATTGACTCTGATTCTTGGTACTATTATTGATTAAACAAGTTCATGACATAAAGTTTAAGGCCATCTGTAATTAGAATAAATCATTAAAGGCATAACAGGAATAAACAAAAATGAAAATCATCATCTTGTAAAAGAAACTTGAAAAAGAATTTAGCAAGTATTGCTTTAGAAAATATTTCTTTTCATAATGAAGTTGTAATGGATGAAAATGATGACCGATAAATTGTTTATAATCATTGTGGTGACTAGAAGTACAACCTGTTTCCTGTGAAATGGTGTTAAAGGTTTTTAAGCCCTTTCTTCGCTGTTTTAGAGTTTTAAGAAAATCTGGATCTCTAAAACACTTTGTATTGAATCAAGTTACTTAAAAAAGTTAATTAGTAATTCAGAAGTTGAATGTTTTATATATATAAATGTAGTTTGAAAAAAACAAAAACAGTTGTATTGGCTCAGAAGATGTTCATCATTTTGAGCTTGTATTTACCTAGGAAATGTGCATGTTATGGTGAATAACTGAATACTGAACAATGAAATTTCTGAATAACTTTAAAAGCCGATATCTTATTTATGTGGGTATGAATTGAATTCTTGCAATATTAATAAAGATACAGGATAATCATGATAAATGCTTTTACTTGAAACTATTCTAATTTGAATTTTGAATGTTCTTGTTTGATTATGAATGTTACACCAAATCATTGTGCCATATGCTTGTATTTGGATGGAGACTTATTTTCATTATATTGATATAATGTTTACGAATGGAAATGAGGCTTCTTAGTTTACTAGCTTTGTATTTTCGGTATGGTTATGTGAATGTTACTAATTTATTGTATTGTGATTGTAAGTGTAATTGGATTGATTTTCATTTACACTGATTTTCTTTTACATAGAATCACAGAACAATTAGCAGGTACAGCTTTAATACACATACTTGACCTTGATCTTATATTCAAAGAATTTATTAACCAACAAAACATCAAGTGACACCTATGTTGTTTTAGACAACTTGATTACTAATTTTTGAGTCCTCAGGACTAAGTTTGTGTTGAACACTGTCAGTGTACTTGATTACTTCAAATAAATTGAGATGTCAATTTGATTACTACTTGAGAACAAAGATATAAAACATTATATTTGTACTGGAACTTATGAGAAAGCAAAACACACTGATCACATTTCTAGAATCATCTGTTTATGTACCCAGTATCTATTGAATTGTGAGAGATGAAAGGTAAAATTGTATTCTGATATAAAAGACAAGATGTTGCACCAGAAGATACATACAAAACCGTGACTTGATTTGATTTATCATATATACTTGTAATGTTATAGTAAATGTATAACTGTAATTATGTCTTACTGTATACTATGCATAATCATGCCTAACTTTGTCATTGTGACATGTTGTGGTAAATGCCTAACTTTGATGACTAGTATATTTACAGGAGCAGAAAACTGTTGTACAGATTATTCATGTGCAATAATATTATTGCCCATCAGATGTTGCCATAGGATTGTGAATATAAGATATATGATTATGATTTAAAATATTGTTTTGTTTTGACGGGAAAATTTCATGTTGAAATAGAATACTGCAAAGTGATGAGTAGACAGTATTTGTGTTTTATCATACATAATTTTATACGCAAAAATAATTGTGGGATTCAATAGTTCTATTATAGCCTCTACAAAACAAGAATTTGAAATAGAGTCTTCATTAGAAAAATGATGTAAAATAATCCGCTTGAAGTATCATCGAGGTCAGTTTTTCCCTTTGTATGATGTTAAAAATTACACAATTAACTTGGTTTAAAAATCAAACAGATAAAAAGCTATCAAACTTTTAATGATATATATTTACTGTCATAAAGACTTGCCTTATTACAAATATTACTGTGAAAGGCCTAGTTTTGTCACATTTGTAATAAAGGCAAATTGAAGTTACAGGGAGGTAACTCTTTGCAGAATGTTTAATGATTGTCTCTTTTTGGTGATATTAGTTTATTGTTTACAAAAGAAAGTGCATACTAAAACAGTGACAGTTGAATAATTTAACTTTTATAGTAAATTAATGATATTTTGAATGGAAAAGTATGCAATAAAGATAAAAATCCACAAGTTATTAAATTAATTTTTATGCGCAAAGTGCAGATAACTGTCTAGGATGTTAGCATGTTAAATATAAGTTTGATTGTGTTTTTAGATCTGGAAAAACCAATTCAGCTGGTGAATATGATACTTTACCCAATGATTGTGTTTTATAATTTGCTACTGTACGTACCTATGAGATAATGGATACTTTAAGATCGTATAATGGAAAAGATAAATTGGTTTTATTCTCCATTATATACAAGTATATGAAAGAAAATGGGAGCGGGGAGGAATTTTTTCAGAGATGCAAATATATCTGTTTACAGTAATATTGCTTAACATTGATGGAGCACTCAAAATTGTCAATAATTCTTTTAAAGTTGATCAAAAAAAGGAAAATATTTTAAAGAGTCTGTGAGAGAGATTGTTGAGACAATGGATTTGATGTATCAGATAACTTTTTAAGACTTTGAGAGATGACAATACTTCATAGTTGACCTATAGTGTATAGAAGTACTTTGCAAATTTGAAGTATTCAGAAACAAAAGAAAATGCATTTCATGACATCCTATTGGCACTCTGAATTAGGGCATATACTTGTAGATTGTTTGGCCCTGTAACAGGGCATATGAAATATAATATTTGGCCCTGTATCAGGGCTTATATGATATGTTTGGCCCTGGAACAGGGCATGTAAGGTATATAATGTTTGCCCTGTATCGGGGCATATATGATAAAACGTTTGGCCTGTAATGGGGCATATAAGAATGAAATGTTTGGCCCTGTAACAGGGCATATAAGATATGTTTGGCCTGTAAACAGGGCATAATTATAGGATAATAAATTTTGTTTGTATTTAATTTGGTCCTGTCACAATTACCAGGCTAATGACTGATTTACTGGGTTGAAGTGATAATAAAGGGTGAAGATTCTAGGTGAAGATGTATCAAGCAGAAAAGAAAATATTATGAAAAAACGAGAGATAATTGATTTGGGGAAGAACATGTTTATAAAGTATGTGTTCTAACTACAGTCTAACTTGCCCATGCGACCACGTGTATTAAACGACTTTTGTCTTAAACGACCACTTTAAATTCCCCCCGATCATTTTCTCTCTATATCTTTAATGTATTAAGCGACTTTTGCTCAACGCGACCAGCGACCGCTAATTAGTTACCTTATTGACATCAATCTTTTCATTAAACGACCACTTTTACCTGTCAAGTAATTGTGTTTTTAGAGAACGCCACCTCGTTATGTCACAAGTGTCAGCAATCAAAACACAACAATAAACGTGTGAAAAACTCTATTTCCCATACCGTTTTAGCGTATGCAAATGAAGTTAAGTATACGCGTGACGTGTATTATCCAATAATATCGGATAAACAATGCAACGCTCCGCCCATACTAAGATGGTGTATACGCTTCGCTTGTTGACATTTAGACTGCATTGAATTGACCTTGAACTTGATCAGCCATTAAATTAATCGTAACAAATAGATGTAGTTTGTTTATTTCAAATGAAAAATGCACAACAGAAAACATCTTCACTAATAGGGTTTTCGTGTTGGAGACAAGGAAAAACAACGGAGAAGTTAAAAAATTCTGGAAAAAATGTCAAACATGTACGTAATGGATCAAAACTGTTTTGTCAATAAATATCAGAACGTTATTTTTACATTTGCATCCGTTTAGATTATCGAAGCGTACTTATTATTCAACATTTATATAAAAATGAAGTTGAAAAACAATCTCATCGAATAAAAAAGATGTCATTTATAAATTTTGACTTTTATATCATGCTGACTGTCTTAAGAGACCGTTTCATTAAGCGACCGTTTTTGGTGTTTCCCTTGCCCGGTCGCTTAATACACGTTTGACTGTAGTGTTTGTATTTTCCAAGATTTGTGCAATTTGAAATCTTTGTTAGTATTTCATTGAATTATAAGATTCCCTGATAGTGCTTGTTTCTAAGGTAACAAACATGTTTCTGCAGTAAAATATATGGAAGTGTTGTATATTCTTGAAACGTGCTATTATTTATCAAATAAAATTCCTTAATTGGCATATTTAAGTACACTGATTGATATCATTGCAATATTCATACATTTTCATAGATATATCATCGCTAATAATATCAGTGCATTAGATTCAATATATAGAGGATATTCAAGTTTTTTGTATGAATACATGATTTATTTTCATCGAGTGGTATGAAAATAAATATTTCATGAGTGGCGGTAGCCACGAGTGAAATATGGTAATTTTCATGCCACAAGATGAAAATAAATCATGTATTTATAGAAAAACTTGAATTTTCTGTTTATTATATACATTTTTCTCTTTTTTTTGTGATAAAATTTGAAAACTTTCCCTTAAATTTTGTGTACTGGCAGAATTTAAAAGAAAGTAGTCCGGCAAGACATCAGTGAAAATACGGAAAATATGTTTCACTGCAGTGAAAAATAAATTTTTACAGTGAAAATACGGAAAATGAAAATATGCATTTTATTTCATCAATATTTCTCAATATATCATTTATAAGTATATAATAAATAAGAATACTGGCATATTGCGTTGTATGCTACAAACTTGCTGTTAGATCATCATTGTATCAATTGCTAACTCGTAGTACATTCTATAAACTTTCTATAATATTGAAGTGGTATTTTGTACAAACTTGTTAAATATTAGTAAATAATAATGGTACCTAGAAGACTTCTACAGACTTGTTATAAGTACATTGTGGTACCTTTTATGGACTTGCAATGATTTCTTGGTGGTACCTCAGCACATCATTGTACAGAGTGAGTAACATACATGTATGTAACCTGAAATTTTTAACTGATGTGGTAATACATTGGAGTAAAACTTAGAATTATAAAACTTAATGGAACCGACAGTGACTTAGAAAAGTACATGTAAAGAATTATATTTGATTTTTTTTCTGAAAGATAATCTCAAATTAAGGATTTATAAAATTTAAGCCAAAAACAACATAAAATAATTTTATATTGACTTGTTGTTTGAAGTAAAGTGGAACTTCCTACACCTTTTGAACAAGTTGAATAATGTGTTTAAGGATGATACATTTGAAGAAATACATCAATAATTATATTTCTGTCATACAGTTCCGAATCATCCAGTTCTGTTTACATGTTTGAGATACATGTTTGACATAACTATTACATATAGGTGTTGAATATAACAATGGTTTAAACAATGGGTATTAACAATTGTGGGTTGGGTAATTTATTGAGATGTCATTAGCCTGTGTGACGTATGGACACCTTTTTGCTTTTGTTATATGATTAATTCTTCATTGATTTTACAGATGATTGAAAGATATAATTCAACAGGAATAATCCAGATTTATAATATTTGTGTCACATTCTCATGCCATGTGATTTTGAATGAATTGATAAAAATTATATTGATTTATTTAACTGATCAATATCATGGTCTCCAAACAATTGACTTGTTCTAATTCTATACCTGTATAGATTTGTTGAATTTTTCAACAATATGAAAACCTACAAACTTAAGTTATTGGTAATGCACCCATAATTTGCTACCTTAATTTGGGAGGGTTTTTAGAAATAGCAGAGGAAAAAAATTTTCTTGTTGTCCATATTGTAAGTTATACTTCTTGTAAAGATTTCATCACTTTATACAGTCAGATTAATTTATTAGGACATATTGAAGTGAAAGTGAAATATTGAACGAAGATTTACAGGAATATCTTTGGCTTAAAGCAATCTGCAAACCATTTCCATGAGTCCATAATTTAGTGGTTTCTCAATCAGCATGCATTTATTTTCCACTTTAAGAATTTTACTTACAAAATTTTTTTTTGGTTATAATCTGTTGTATGAATTAATATCCAGGACTCTGACCAAATGTCTATGAATTTACCATGGAATATTTTACTTTAGTTTAGATCCCTTTCAAAATGCATTTACTAAACATTTTCAGGGGATTATAATTGGGACCTTATTCTGCATTGTTGAGCTGTGTACTGAATTTGTAGCTATTCAATATAAAAGCTGAAAGCAATGGCTGAGATAGTTGTATTAGGCTATGGGTAGATGTCTACCTGCTTTGAAGAGTTTTGAGCAATTACTTTTAATATTCTTATTTGATCCCCCAGCAGCGTCCAGGCCCAGGACCTCAAGGACAACCACCAGGAGGACGTTTCCAAGGGCCACCAGGCCCAGGAGGGCCCCCAGGGGGACCAGGTAACTTTGGTGGCCCTGGGGGTATGGGTGGCCCAGGGGGCAACATGTTTCCAAAAATGCCTGGACCGGGACATATGGGTCCCGGTGGACCGCCAGGTAACCAGAATATGCGTGGGAATGATAGAAGAGATCCAGTGAGAAGAGATGATTTTGATAATAAAAGAATGAGGCGTTATTGAATCGTGTACAAAGAACAAAAACAGAAATGATTTCATAAACGATAGACATAAAAAGTCACATAATATTGAACTAGAAATTAGGAATATGTGTACATTATTTTGTAAAGACTCTGAATCATGTTATGATTGCTAGTCATTAAATGGAAATGCAAAGACCATGCACTTAAAAGACAAACATCTGATAGTTTTAAGACACCAATTAACTGTTGAATTCCAAATAGACTTTGTAAAGCCATTCATATGTTTTGAACCTGGAACATGACTAAGTAGTTGAAGATTTGATGATTATATAGCACTCAAAGAGCTCAAGTGAACATGACTGTTGTTACTTTCTTGTGTAAAAAATCCTTTTTTTGTGGTGTTTGTAGTTATGCATGAAAACAAAACTTTATATAATTATGATAAATACTATGGGCATACATTTTATCCTTGAAGAATGGATGAATAAACCTTTAGCCTGCAAGTGGCAACTGAATTTACCCATGCAACCAGTACAGACCAGTCTGATCTTGATCTGTACTGTTTGGTATTCATTTTGTACATATATTGAAATTATTTGCAAAAATGATGAATGGTTTGATCCAGATTGAAAGATGGACAAGTTCATTTAAGATATTTAGCATGGTAAGGGTTAATGTAAAACATTTTAATGTAATGCTTTCAGGAGATGGTACATTCTGTAATATCTATTTGTCGTTTCATTTTCATCCATTCATTGATCATTGTATTATAGTTTATCATTGTCTTCTTCATTGTAGAATCTCATTAACATGCCATTAATCATATATCATTGAGACATTTAACCATTTGAAAGTTACAATGGCATCTGACCCACAACAGTCCGTCAGGGCTGCATTTTGTCTCAATGGATAATTCATTTCATCCTAGCAATTTATTTAGTAGCTTTGCAAAAGAAAGTGTCATAATTTTTTTAATTAAATTTTAATTGTTTTCTTTGCCTAGGAAAGGTTGTGTATTTCTTATAAAAACAACAAGCTCTGTAAACCTTGCACAGCTTTTGTCTCTGGGGTAGGGATGTAGCGAGTTGTTGTACGATAGTTCATATAAGCCAAATCTGCAAATTGTGAAAATAGTTCATAATATAATGACAGAATCAGCCAAATCCACAAACTTACGAAAATAGCTTATATAACAGAATTCGCAAACTTTTGAAAAAAGTTCATATAGCCAAATCTGAAAAATCTATAAAAAGCAGCTATCACTTACTCGTTATTAAAACTTATTAAGAAAATATTTTCTTCTTATATATCATTTCTTATTATTGACCCCTTTTTTGCCAAAATTATTTCTTAATCTTTTAACATCTTTGATGCTGCAGCATAGCTGTTTACAGTGAAAAGTTTTGAATTGAGAAACTACCATCACCTGTTTGTGTCTTTAATTTTATTTTGTTGTCTCACAATCATTGTGTTAATTCAGAAAATACTAAATCATGAGAATACTAAACCAAAAGAATACTGAATCATGAGAATAATAAATCATGAGAATATTAAATCATAAGAATACTAAATCATAAGAATACTAAATCATGCCATGCTATCTTTATCTTGCTAGCAGTGCTAGTATCAGGTATGTTGCTTCATTTTGTAAGCACTGGAAATAAAGAAAGTTTATTTTTTAACTTTACCAGTCATGATTGTAAACAATTGTGAAGTTTTTACCAATATTAATTATCCTATAAGTTTTACTAAGACAAAATGTTGAAAAGAAGAAGGAATCAGAATCATAAAGAATAAACATGCAGTGGTATACAAGTGGCTGAATTTTATATTCTGTTGATTATTTTGTTTATCTTTTTTTATAAGTCACTAAAATATGGTGTATTTTATGGAATAAAAAACTGTTGTTATTATGTTATATTTTGTTTATATTTAATTAAATCTTTTGATAATGTACATATTAGATTTTAAAGTGCAGAAAAAATGATCAATCAAAAAAAGTCATTAAGAATTTGGTGCATATGGAGTTCTGTTGTGTACGGCCTCCCTCCATTTAGAGAAATTAATGAGACAACAATATCTTAACACAATAACTATTATGTTTGAAAAGTATTTGTATCTTTAATTATTGTTTTTTTTTCCTCTCTTTCATTTTAAAGAAGAAAAAAAACAAGCTTTTTTTTTTAAAGATTTTGCTAGTGAAAGCGTAAGGAATTGAATTTATTATAATATGGAATAGAAAAAAAAAAAGAAATATTTTTTATTATAATATTATATTTTATGTCCACCTGTGTAGTATACCATTTCCTATAATTCTATTGTGTTGTCTTGATTTTTGAATAAATATTGTAACAACCAGCATAGTTTTACAGTTTTGATTCAGTGAACTAGAATTTGAAGTACAATATTGACATGGAAATATGTAATTAAACCTGAGTACTAAGAGAACAACTTGTTTTTGATACAATGTACTATGAGTGAAGTGATCAAACTTGCAGACTTAATCAATTGTTTGTAGTGGCGATAATGGCACAGTGGTTTACTTGACAGATTAGTAATCTCAGGATTGCTAGCTATGTGAGTTCAAACCCAATCAGTAGGCAAGCTGTTGTTTCCTTGAGCAAGGAATTTTACAATTGTTGCTCAGAACTGGTTGGTTCCAGGAACAGATTTTAGAATGTGTTTTCCATACAAATTATAGTCAGCGTATACCAAACTAATTGTTTTGTAAGGATCTGATCATTTATAGAGTTCAGCACATGCTTGTGAGGAAGAGATCTAATTAATGAATAAAAAGTTGATGGTTCTACTGATCTTCCTATGTAAGTCCTCAGTCATTGCACATATTACTGCTTTGATGTACCTTAGATTTTTTGTGTGAGTCTCATTTGCATGTTTTTAAGATAATTTTCCCCTGATGTAGAACTGTAGATGTTGGGATTGTAATCCACATTGTATCGACACAATTGGAAAAATCAACCAGCAAATAGAAGAAATATGACTACAAAACTATACCAACCTTTGTGTATACCAACCACAACAAGGAACAAGAAGCAAAAAACAAACCACGAAATTTAATGTTCTGAAGTGTTGACATAAAAAAAATTTGTTCTGAATAGTTAAGTACATGTTGTGTAAGTAATTGAAAATTTTGAAGAGGAGGTCCAGTTAAAAGTTCTAATGACCAGTCTTTAGAGAATGGATCTAGAATAGATACTATCCTGGAAGTTTTGAATCACTGAATTGGGTATATTTAGCAAAAAAAAAAAAAAAAAAAAAAAAAAAAAAACTTCAGAAAATATGAATCTTAATGGTTGTTCTGGAATTAAGGACACCATTTTATGAAAGATGAGTTTTTGCCATTTTGAATAGGTAAGTTCACTGTACCCATAGAAGGTAAACTGAAATGAATGGTGGGCAGAAGTTATCTTGTCAAGTTTCCGTTTCATATTTGTCTACCCACATAGTTCATTTAGCAAACACACCCACGTAGTTCATTAAGCAGAAACCATTTGATTTGTAATCCAGGGTTTGCGGATTTAACCTTCTGGCAAGGCAAAATTTCTCTTGGACATTGAGTCAGTTGGTAGTTAGTCTACACATGTGGGGTTTTAAGTTGCTTACGGAGAACTTGGTAATTACTGGTTAGCTATCCAGGAAGGACAATTCGGTGAACACTCAGCAGAGATACAACCAAAAATTGTAGTTAAAACCAAAACAAACTTTTGATAATAAAAAAGGTTTATCCTGAAACTCAATTGTTTATGGTTTTATATTTGAAATATAATGCTCAAATGAAGATTTATTAATGTTGTAAGTTCCAAAAAAGCATTATTTGTAAAGATATTACCAAATTTAAATTTCATGTCAATAAAGGGAGGTTATAAAAAATTTATTTTCTATAAAGTCTAAGTCAAATTTTTCAATAAGAAATGATAGCATATATTTCAATAATAACATATTATGGGGACAGATATTTGCGATACATATTTTACAAAGTTATCCTTCGATGTTTGAAAATTGTTTTAGAAGAAAAATTATATACATATGTAAAATTTCACTGAAGTGTGGTGACAACCTTAATTACAGTATACAGGATCTTTAATTATTGCCTAATAATAGTTGGTATTCAGAAATTATTTTTAATAAAAAAAGGTTTACACCTGAAGTGAACATGTTTTAAAAGTTATTAAGAATAGGTTTGAATTCATAATACTTGAAGATTAGTGCCTTTTGTCATTTTAAACATTTAGAAATTTTTAGATGTTTCTGTCTTTAGTTTGTAAACTTTCTATTTAGTGAATTAAAATTTTTAGCTATTCAATATAAAAGCTGAATGCAATGGTTGAGATAGTTGTATTAGCTCTAATTAATCACTGTGCAGCCATCTTTTATTGCTCATTGAAAGGAATGGAGTAGTGGGCTGTTACTCCACATTTTATTTCTGATAATCTAAGATCGAACATTATAAAATTGTTTAACCTATTTCAAAGTGACATTTTGCCAGTACATGCCAGTGTTACAGATATTCTTGTTTATAGATTTAGTCAAAAGTAAATTCTTTTGCACCATGTTCAAGTGATTGTTAGGAATGAGTAAGTAAAAATTTTGTATTACACTTACATTTCTATGACAATTTACAAGTAACAACGATCAACTTGGCCTTTTCTCAATGGAAATTATCTACAAAATTGTGCAGTTTTCCCTGGAAAAAAAACCACACCATTAAATTAGCAATTTTAGCAACAATTATTTCCAAGATCAAAGGTTAAGGCCTTTTCCAAATTCAATTAGAAAATACAGAAAAAACACTGATAAATAATTTAACATTACATCTTGCCCAATGGACCTATAAGTTACCTTACACCATTGTTATAGTTCACAAGAAATTACTATTGATTAAAACAATCTTTCTCATAAATTTGACTGAAATGCATCCTATTAGTTTAAATTTTATAAAAAAAAAAGTTTATAACCATGTATACACATTATTTGTATATTTAGTTTTTTTTTATCTCACTCACAATAAGTACAATTGTAATGGATATTCAGGAACTACTTTTTCTACAGATGTCTACTATATTGTTACTGAGTCGGAAGTAAATGAAGCAACATCTGCTGGATACCTTGACTTGCAGGACATGACGTTAGCTGAGGGACTGAATATAATAATAATAAAATATATCTACTTAACAGGATGTGTTTGTTAATCTATGCCTACATATATTTACAATTAAATATGTTGTGTAAATTTGTTTCACATACAGTTTGCTTATAATCAAATGCAGAACAAAGGAAAAAGATGTCACTTAGTTTATGTGTAATTGCATAATAAATATTTACTATAAAAGTCCAGAGCTTAGATATTTGGCATGTATCATCAATTTTTAGTCTTCTAAAAAAGTTATATCAACCATGACCTTGAGGTCAAACTTGGCCCTACCTTTTGGGCTCACATGCTTTTTGTAGACTTTGAACGCGTCTTTACTATTTTATGGAAAACTACAATGCTCTGAGCTTATATATTTGGCATATAGCATTCCCTAGTAGACCTGTACAAAAGTTTTATGAATCAAGGATCCAGAAAGTGCCCACCACGGGAGTCATTTAGTATTATAAGGATAAGTATAATCAAACATTTTTGATAAAGTTTAGTCAGTCTTCCCTAACTGAAAGATTCTTTTTGATTACCTAAACAAAAGTTATGATTTGAGCATATATTGCCCTGCCTAAGCAGTGCTCTTGTATTACTTTGTGCTGCAGCTATATTTTTTTCTTTTTGTACATTGTATATTAGAATGTTATTTTTATAAAAGGTAAATAGTGAGTACAATTGCTGACTTGAACTTTGCTAGTCTGCTGTTGAAAATAAGATGAACCTTGTACAACCTTTTTTTAGATTTTTTATACCCTTTATGTACATCATTCTGTAAACTTCATAAAAGTCTGCAGCAGAGTGGTAAAGGTTGTCCCAACCAGAAAGTAAAAAAAGAGAGCTAGAAAAAGGCAAGTGATAATATGTATTCTGAGTAGCATTGTTATTGTATGGACTTTTGCTTCTGAAGTATGTTAGCCCTTTATATTTATTTCAGTACATCCATATGCTTTGGCAAATTGGATTGCATCAATGGTACATAGTTGCCAGTTGTTTCCATTTTTCTGAAATTTCTGTTACCCCCCTTTTTAGTGTTTTCGAAAATGAGTTTGGTTAACAAATAACATTTACAGAAAGTTAAAATAAATATAAAAAAGTTATTCCCCTTTTGTTATTTAAATATAAAAAGTTATTTATAATTCCTCTTTTGTTATTTGAATATAAAAAGTTATTCCCTTATGTTATTGTCCCCCGCCTTTTCGAAGAAAAAAGGGGGATATAGACTAATAGGCTCCGTCCGTCACTTTCGTGTCCGGTCCATAACTTTGTCAATTATCAAAGGAATCTGAAATTACTTGGCACAAATGTTTGTTATAATAAGAAGATGTGTCATGCGCATTAACCAGACCGCTACCTTCAGGGTCAAGGTTGCACTTGCTCATTCAAGGTCAACATTGTCTATTTGATGGTAAATGTCGTGTCCGGTCCATAACTTTCTTATCTTTGAAGGAATTTTGTAAATACTTGCCACAATTGTTCACAATAATTAGACGATGTGTCATGCGCAACAACCGGTCACCTACAGGTCAAGGTCACACTTGGAGGTCAAAGATTAACATAGTCTATTACAGGGTATATTTTTGTCTGGTCCATAACTTTTTCATTTATCAAAGAAATCTGATATAACTTGGCACAAATTTGTTATGATAAGACGATGTGTCATGCGCAACAACCAGACCCCTACCTCCAGGGTCAAGGTCGCACTTGCTCATTCAAGGTCAACATTGTCTATTTGATGGTATAATTATGTCGTGTCCGGTCCATAACTTTCTTATCTTTGAAGGGATTTTGTAAATAATTGCCACAATTGTTCACAATAATGAGACAATGTGTCATGCGCAACCTTGCCACAATTGTTCACAATAATAAGAAAATGTGTCGTGCGCAACAACCAGTCACCTACCTCTAAGGTCAAGGTCACACTTGGAGGTCAAAGATTAACATAGTCTTTTACAGGGTATATTTTGTGTCCAGTCCATAACTTTTTCATAGATCAAAGGATTTTGTAAATACTTGCCACAAATAGTCACTATAATAAGACAATGTGTCTTGCGCAACACCTGCATCCCTACCTCCAAGTTCAAGGTCACACTTAGAGGTCAAAAGTTAACATAGTCTGTTTTAGGGTATATTTTGTGTCTGATCTAGAACTTCTTCAGGATTTTGAAATAACTAGGCACAAATAGTCACAATGATAAGATGAT